TCGGGACTGTTCCAGCGGTCCGCCAAGCCTAGTCCAAGCACGGTCAAGCCAGCCAACAAACCAAAGGAGCCACTCAAGCGACCCCGCGGTGCGTACTGGGAAAACAACGGCCAGCGGACCGAGGACATCGTGGTGCGGACGCCTCACCCGTCGGACTCGTCACTTGCCGGCCCACAGTCGCAATCCTGGCGTGGCGGTCAGCATGCGCGCCACCAGGGACCTTGGGGTGTCGAGATGGACCAAGCAGATGACGCGGGGACGGACTCGATTCTCGCCCACGCGCGTCGTCTCGCCAGTCTCGGCGAGGCCGGCTCGGCCAAGCGCCCGCGAACGGAGTTCAACCCGAATGCGATCGAGGTGGGGCTCCACTGTCTGATCACGAGCGAGCAATATGCGCACGCTCACCCTGCGCAGTTTATGCACCGGGTACGCAAGAACAAGAACCTTGTCTTCTTCAAATACCCGGCGGTATTGCGAGCCCTCTTCAGTTTTGAATTTGGCCCGGGACGCCTCTCGCTACTGCATTTCCAACCGCGCGACTACGACGAGATTGCGGCATGGGGCGCGGCCAATGGGAGCATCATGCAAGACTACTCGTTGACCGCGACCCTACCCTCCGCAGTCGCGGAAGGCCCCGTCGGCGCTGCGCTGGCCGCCTCGTTTGAGATGCTTCTCATCTACGCGGCTCAGTATTGTCGGCCCTTCGTCGTCGCGTTTTTTGGAACAAGGGTGGTCGACGCTACGCGTTCTTTCGGCTAAAAAGCTTCTCGTCGCGGCCTACGCTGCGGACGTTGTGCAGAGGATCGACTCGGTGTTTGAGCAACTTCACTCGGACATCTCCAACGATTTGTACGGGGATAATGCGACGGCTTTACATCTACGGACGCGGCATCTTTTCGACGTCGATTCGCGCGAGCTCCATAGCCGGCTCTCGGCCGCGTACCAGCGACAAATGGCGATAGTCATGGCGGCGCACCCTCTACTCAGCGAACGCACCACGGCCACGGCAGCGGACGTCGCGGACATCAAGAAGTCGCTTGGTGGGTTCCGTCCCAAGTTCCAGCACCTGGATACGTCGATCTGACGGCGCCCGGGTGGGCAGGGAAACCCACCTGGTGAGACCATCCCACGAGCAACTACACCGCATCCAATCCCTCCGCAACCGCCTCCGGCTGCGCCACGCCTCGGCAACGTCGGGTCGCAACGCTGTGCAGCCAAGGCACAGTCCACGGCCATTGCACGCAAGTGCAAACCCTCGGATAAGCAACGGCGCGTCACGCCCCCGGGACGACCAAGACGGATGGTACGCGCAAGACAACACGCCTATTTACGCACCGGAACGCTGGGTTTACCGCACCGGAACGCACAGGCGTCGTCCCACGCACCGTCGACGAACGAGACCGTCGACTTGAGCCGCGTCGAGACGGCGAGCACCGGAACGCTGGTTCTTCCGCACCGGAACGCTCAACCGTCACGCAACGCGCGCTCTGCCAGGGCACCACTGGCGACCGCTGGGGGTCGCGACACGTCTGTAAGCACCGGAACGCTGGGTTTACCGCACCGGAACGCTTCAAGACCGCCGCAGGGAGCGCTTTGCATGAACAGCAACTTCGCTCCCGTGTCGCATCCATGGCGACACGCACCCTGCTTATGTCGCGATCCTCGAGTACGCCCCGTGCTGTCGACTTGGCCTTTGCGGCGCAGATCCAGAGTTTCCTGCGCAACAGACTTGAGCTCCACGCCAAGATTACACACGCACGGCTCAACATTGCGCTCAAGGAAGCAGGTTTGCAACCGCTCCCAGAAGAGACATCCTCATCGAGCCCGTCACAATGCCCGAGCCAGAAGCGGCCCCAGCTCGCGCAACAGCTGCGGTGACCGCGCTACGGTTCGGCATGATGGCGGTACTTGGACCGACAAGCATCAACGAGAGAAAGTCAAGGCGTGGACGCCCAACCTCCACGCTTTGGGACTCGTTTGGCACTTGAACGAAGCGACGGTGTCGATGCCAGCAGAATAGATTCAACGCGCGACACAACGCGTCGACGCCTTGCGCCTCCGAGGCAGAGCCACCAGAACAGCTCTGCTCCAGGTGCTGGGGTCGCTACGGCACGCGTGTTTCATGCGCACCGGCAGCCAGAGCGTCCTACCAACGGCTTCACAGCGCGGCAGTCATGGCAACGCCGTTCAAAACGTTCAAGCTTCCCGATCTGGCCAGACTTGACCTCGAACTTTTCCAGGCCATTCTGGCGCAAGCCGACTTGGGCCACGTGCCCGCAGCCAGCGAGATGATCCGAGCGGTCAGTGAGAAATCGTCTGGCACGGACGGGCCTGCGTTCTTCTCGATCAACGTCCGCGAGCATCTTAGCTTGTGTCTCGCGGCGAGCATCTGGGCCCGGGCGTGGTCAACTCTCGACAAGGGCACTCTCCACGTCCACGCGTGGATAGACAACTCGTCCAGTGTGTCACGGGCAAACAAGCTCGCAGCGTCCAACGTCTACGCGCAAGAGCTCAACCGCCATCTAGCGCTCGCCCAAGCCGTCAATCGTCTATACGTCACGGCGGGCCACATGGCCGGAGTACGGAACGAGATGGCCGATTGCGGGTCACGCAGTCTCGCCGAGCCGTTCAAATCGTGATGGCTCGCACGGGTGGGAAGCGTGCCCAATACCAGCCGACATTCGGTACATGTACAAGCCGACGTCCGACGCTTTCAAGACGCCGCTCTGGCCACGAGCACACACGAACGCTACAACGCCGCGTGGGAACAGTGGCGCACGTGGCGCGAGCATCGCCGACAGTCTCCGTGGCTCTCCAAGGAAGAACGCGAGCAGACCGACGAACTCGTCCAGTACGTTCTGCACCTCCGCGACGGCGGCAACTCCGCTGCCACCTTCCGATCCAAACTATACGGCATCGCTTGGCGTCATCAGCGACACGGCTGGTACACCGTGGCGCTGGCACCCGACCACCGGCTCGTCCTCCGAGGGATGGAACGAGACGACGGAGCCACCCGATGAATGGAGCCCGTCACAGCGGCAATGCTCTGGCATTTGCGTGCCGGACTCGATTTCGACGACCCCCAGCAGCGCTCACTCTGGGGGGCTACGCTCCTGGGCTTCTTCTTTCTCTTGCGGAAGTCCGAGTACCTCCACGAAGGGCCCAAACCCGCGAAGCACGGTCTCTGCGTAAGAGATATCCGCTTCACGACGGCCTTCGAGGAGGTGGCGACGTCCGAAGATCAAGTGCACGAGGTCCACATCAAGCTGTCGAGCTCGAAGACGGACCAACGGCGCGGCGGTGTGACCTTGCGACTATCCCGGCCTGGTAGCTCTTGGCTCTGCCCCATCCCAGCTATCTGGGAGCTGCGGCGCATCGCGGTCGCAGCCGGGGTCAAGGCCAACGAGCCGCTATGCACCACGATCGCACCGGACGAAGCAGAGCCGCGATCAACGAGAGCCAAGTCAAGGCACTCCTACGCGACACGGCGAGAAGAATGGACAAGGACCCATAAGCTTACTCCACCCACTCGTTGCGGAGTGGGGGAACCACCGCACTCTTCAAGGGCGGCGCGACGGATCTGCCCATCCAGAAGTATGGCCGATGGCGCAGCGATGCGTACAAGTCGTACGCACACACCGACGACGTCGAAATCGCTCAGCTGGCCAGCCGCACTGCCTTTGGGGGAACCGCCTCACCTCACCCGAGGTCCTGGCAGTAATGAAGGCATTACGCCCATTGCCCCCTGAGCAAGCTCGCCATTGTGAAAAAACAGAAAACCTGTAGGAAATAATATCTCAATAGACTCATTCCAACAACAAAAACAGGAGAAACGAACTGCGATAGAGCCCGAGTATATCATGGTCAGCGGATTCACTTCGTAGTGTTTACAGAACTCGATACCCGACTCTACATGTATAGACAAAGTGGTGCAAGATGCCAAAGACCTTTTCAAAAGAAGGGTCTTGCGTCGAAAACCCATCCAAACGTCAGAAATACTACTTCAACTGTGCGACGTAGTGGTTCTTGGTGCACAAGACACCGGTGCAATATAGAAGGGTTTAAGAAAAAGAAAAGATATGAAATGCCATTTGTTGAGAAGTTAAAAAGCAAAACGAAAACGAGAAATGCCATGCCAGGAATCTTTCAGTGGCGGAGGTTGTAGCGGTGGTTGCGGCGTCGGACATTCGGTGCGGCAGCAGCTTGCACGGCAGCTTGTGCAGCTGCTTGGACAGCAGCAGCTTGTGCGGCGAGACCGTTGACGGGGGTTGCTTCTTCGTATCCAGTCCGAATCGCTGCGGCGATCGTCGTTGCCAAATGCACGGGGTAGTCGGGGAGCAAGCCTTGCATGATATGGCCGTGTCCATCTGAGGTGCGGTACAGATCGTCACCGAGCAGCGTAATGAAAGGTCCATGGTTCCACGGCTGGCCCAAGTTGAAAAGCGGCAGCTCGGCAGCCATCGCAGCGA